GTATGTTTTTTTGAAAGATATTTTTCAAATTCAATTTTAAATTCATCAAATGAGTTAATATTTTTTGTTATTTTTTTAATTTTTTCTAAAATTTTCTTATCGTTACTTGTTATATCTGAAGAAGTTTAATTATTATTTTTTAAATCTTTTATTGTGATTAGAAGTTGTTTGTTTTCTAATAATAAAATTTTTTTTTCCAGTTTCAATAATATAATACTCTTTTCGCTATTTTGATAAACTTCTAACTGGGATGTTAAATTTTCAATTTCATTTTTAAAACTAATGTTCTTGGTAGTTAATTCTGAATTAAGTAATGTATTGTCATTAATTTGATCTTTAAGATTAAATAATTCTGTTGTATTGTTGTTATTTTGAAAATATCCGGATATCCGGATGATCCGTGGATATCCGGATATTTAGTTAAATGGATCCCAACCATTATGAGCAGCCAAGTAAGTTTTTATTGAAGAGTAGAAGGGTGGAAGACATTGAGTTTATTGCAGGCTTTTTGTTCAGAAACTATGTATTTAGATTATGCACTCCTAATACAATAAGACAGGATTGCCAAATTTAATAATAATAATAATAATAATAATAATAATTATTATTAAAAATGCCTCGTGTTTATATTTCTCATACTGTCTGATGTTCATAATGTAATGGTAATGAAGCTCTGGTCAAAGTACAGGATCAAAATAGAAGATAAATATTTACTAATTCTTATAATAGTTTTCAGTAAAATATTAACTTTGTAATTCATATTAGGTTGTAGTATAAAGTAAGATCCTTAAGGAGAAGAATCATGGTATTAGAAGTGGAGTTGAAAAAAATTCAGTTTTGGGAGGCAGAGTCAGTAAAAGAAAGTTGGGGAAGAGATGAAGAGTATTAAAGAGTTGTTCAGGAGAGAAATTAGTTGTGTGTTTGTGTTACTGCGTTAGAAGCTCATATAAATAGTAGTTTGGTAGATTTAGATGAAGATTTTGATTTGTAATAATTTTTTTTTTTCTTTTGTATATATATATTATATTATTTTCTTTTTTTCTTTCAAATAAAATAAATATACAGTCTTCCTTTTCTATAGTTACATCTTTGGGATACAGAAAACTATGCTTATAAAAGTGTAACTAATATAGAAGTGATCTCTATATAGTCACAATCATATTACAAAATATAAAAAGTAACTATATAGGGTTTTTTATTAAAAATAAAACCAAAATATTGTATAAGTGCCACTAAGAAAAAACCTGCTATCAGGCTTTCAATTATATTTTGTGTCATACATATTCCTAATAAATTAAATGGATTTTGTCCAGGTACAAAATATAATCTAGTAATTGAAAGCCGATGACAGGTTTTCCTTAGTGACACATATATATCTATATTTTATTTTATTGTTTATTTATTAATCTTTTTTATATTATAATTTTTTATTTATTTAATTTTTTATTTTTTCAATTTTTTATTTATTAACCTCGAGTAACTTAGAGTAAAAACTTAGAAATAAAAAATTTAGATTTTTCACTATAGCAAATTTAGCCAAAGAATCGTATATGATCGGTATTTTGGTTGTTTTAATACTATGTGTTATTTAATATTTTTATAGTATATAATCGCTATAGAAAAATAATTAAAAGTGACACATATATTGAAATGGCTAGAACATCAATTATATTACTATTTTTTTGGCTTTATATTCTCTACAGTGAAGACTTTAATTTCACTTTCAGGTTTTTACTCTACTGCTCTTATTTACAATAATAATGTATAACTATAAATATCAATAATATAATCAATTAACGCTCTTTATACTTACATACCAAACCAGGATTTTTAACCGAATTTTGATAAATCAGCCAAGGTTGTCTTTAAAGTTTGGAATATATAATATACCAATATGCTATTGCAGTGCTTATATCATGTAACCTGATATTAAAGAGCTATCCTGGCTGATTCGAATCTTGACTGACATCTACAAGCCTGACAATACGATCTCAATTTGGAATTCGAATAAGTTGCCTAGATTATCCAATTCAATATAATCAGGAGTTCCAGAGGCAAATTCAGAATGCAACCCGTAAATCTTTACTGGTATTACCATCAGTTGGGAGAGCAATTGCAGATATTAATTTAATTTAGCTCCAATGGATAACCAGGTTCAGGATTTATAACACTTATATACTTGGTATGATGTTACGAAACACTTAAACTAGATCGGGTTATCACTTAACAATCAATCTTTAATTACTAGAAGAAGTTTATTATATACATGAGACAACAATAATAAATAAATAAAAAGAATAACTAAACAAATAACTAATACATAAACTCAAATATATCATAAAGGTGAATCTGAATATAAACTATAACTAAAACATTAAGAGATTTTTTGAGACTCACATGGTCTAATAAGACCTTGTCTTCTCTTTGGAGACTTTGTCTAAGAAAACTTAACTAAGGCAGAAACCCATGCCTTAAATACCTTTTACCTGACTAAGAGCTACTGTACTATTTTTAATCTCAGACTTATTTTCTTACAATCAATTTTCAGAATGTTAACAACCCATATTAGATAGCCTCATATTGCTTATCTATACAATGATTGTAAGCTAAGTATACAATGATTGTGAGCTAAGCATACAACAATTGCTTTAAATATTTACCTCTTTATTTCTTTACTATATGATGAGAGTAACCAACTACTGGAACTGTTTTATATTTCTAAGCCTTCATATTTCGGATTAATTTGTGTTCTAAGCCTTTATCTGCCATCTAAGAGCCTTATAATATTCTTGTAGCTTTGGGTCATATGGGCTTTTAGTATACCAAATAGCAGCTAGGCCATGAGTTTAAACTTTAAACTGTGGCACTGGAGTTTGCTATCAAAGTGATAATTTTCAAAAGGTCTTTGTCCAATTGACATGTGATTCTAAAAGCTAATATAAACATTTGACTTAATAAAACTTTTAATACAATATAAGGCATAATGATTTATATTTCATATCTTATTTAAATAGTTTATTTAAATATTTAATATGTTCTTTATACTTACGAACTAAAAAAAAAACTAAATAGTTAATATTTATGAGCTTGAATAGCTTATTTTAAATACTTAGATACTTTATACTCACAAATTAAGAATAAAGTGAAATTATACTTATATATGTGATAAAGTTCTTTATATATATGCAAAATTAATGCGAATAAGTGCGAAAAAATAGTATAAAAGTATAAATAAGAACTGGGAAATAAACCAAGATTCAATTCAGAAATATATATACTACTAGTTCTTTAATTATATCGATATCATAATGGTGGTATGTGCATATATATATATATACATACATATAGCACAACCTTATCCGATTTGTTGTGATTTTATAGAGGAAAATTTTATATAAACGTTATATAATTGGTTACCAAAAAAGTGTAATAGTGACTATAAGGCGATTGTGCCTATATAGAGGTATAAATAATATAAAAATGGTTGGTAAAAACAAAACCATGATTATATAAAGATTGTAACTATAGAGAAGATAACTATAGAGGGGGAAAACTGTATATAAAATAATAAAATAATAATAATAATAATAATAATAAAATAAAATAAAAAAAATCAATTATTTGAATATTTCAACTAAGAGCCACACTGAACTTGGTACCTAGCAGGCAGCTCTTTTAGCCAGTCTCAAACCTCTTTGCTATAACCATTAATCTATAGTTCAAATGATATTAAAAATTTTTTTAGCTACTTCTTTTGAACATTAATAGGGTAATAATTATGTATTAATTACAGTTACTCTAAAATAGATAATATAGTATACAATATATAATTAAAAATTAAAAATTGTCTTGTGTTTTCTATCATCTTTAAAAATTTTCTCTGAAAATTCTAGTTTTTCAAGAATAATAGTAAAAGTTTTTCATAATATTTGCCAAGTTGGTTACTGTTATAGTATTTCTTTTTGCTATATCTTGGAATTGATTTGAGCTTTTTGTTTTTTTGGAGATTTTTTTAGTGTTTCTTCGAGCATTATCTTTGTAATTGTCCAATAAAGTTATTAGGTTTTGAATCATGTGTTTTGGTTATAGTTAATTTAAAATAGACAATATATTATAAAATATATTATTTCTATTTTTGCTAAAGTTTTTTTTTCAAATCTTCTTTCTAAAGAGATAAATAATTATAATAATACTAATTTAGTAAATATAGTTTTCTTTATCGAATTTCTACATGCTAGAATTATATGTTTTATTAGTTTCTTTGTCTGTTTTTTTTTTAAAAAAATTAGGAGGTTTTCAAACTTAATACAATTCTTTGTGCTTTGCATTCTAAATTGTTCTTCTTTTCTAAATTTACAAATCACATCATTATTGTTTATGATTTTCTTTGTTTATACTATGCGATAGTTTTTCTTGGCATGAGAAAATTTATTCATTGTTGTAATTTTCATTTATATTCTTGTTCTTTGGTGTGTTTTGTTTTTTAAAAATTTCATATGCCAACTTTTTTCTTGATACTATTTCTTTTTATAATTTCTTTATATTAGAAACTTTCTTGTTTAATACTCTTCTTTTTTCTTTTTTTTAGTTTTTTGATAACTTCTTTTGTCTTGCTTGTCTCTCTTTGTCAAAAGTAGATATACTTTTTGGGCCATGTGCTAAACCTCGTTAGCTTTATACTTTTAGGGCAACTGCTGGTCTTTTATGTTTAGATAATCTGACAGTCCTTCATACTTGGATGATTGATTTTTTTCATAACTTGTATGATTGATTGCATGGCCTCGGTGGATTTTTTTCCTTTTATGCAAAAGAAAACTCTAATAAATTATACTATTTTATGCTTAATGATAATGAATGGATGCTATTACAAAATTTAATAAGTGTATTTAAACCCTTTGATGAGTTAACTACTTATCTTAGTGGAATTCGATATACCACTTTTTCAGTAGTTAATTCAACTATTAAAGTATTAAAATTGGAATTTGATGATATAGTTTAAAATTACCAATAAAATTATTGATAAACATATACCTAATATTAAAGATAATCTTTTTTTTTTGTAATTACAGTTCAATCTTTCTATAGTTACCTTATTTAAGTATGTTTTTTTTAAAAAAACTATCTATTATTAAATATAATAGATTTGACTTCTATAATTAGCATATTTCTCTGTAATTATGTCTTGTGGGTGTAACTATAAAGAGGCTTAACTATAATATTAATGCAAATAAATGTACTTTTTTTTAATAAATATTAATATTAAAGAGTTAATATTTTAGATGAAATATCTTCATCAGAAGATGAAGATTCTTCTAATAAAAGTTTAAATAAAACAGATACCTGACGGCCAGCTGCATATAAGTATCAATCTTATATAAACAAACAACTTTCAAATGATAATATTATTTTAGAAGTTTGAAAAATTATTTATACTTCCTTTGATTATTATTGGCAAGATCCAGATTATATTAGATTAATTGCCACTTTATTAGATTTACGTTTAAAATTGATAAAATTATAGCCAAATAGAATATAAAATAGAACTATTTGCAAGTTATATGTTAAATTTAAGACATAGTAGAGTATAATTATGACTAATGAACTAACTGAAGATACTGGAGCTAGAATCTCTTCTTCATCTGCATTTGCTTTTATGAAAAAGTATTTAGCTATAATCAAACTTTAATAAATTATAAAGCTGAAATAGATAATTACTTAAATGAAACAATTACACCAATTCAACCTGAAGCTATAAACATTTATCAGTAGTGAAATATCAACTAGTATACTTTCTCTATATTAAGCCGAATAGCATGTAAATATTTATCAATTTTTACCACTTCAGTTTCAAGCAAAAGGCTTTTTTTTGATGCTAGAATCCAAATTACTCCTAGAAGAACTCGTTTATTTCCTGAAGTAGTTAATAAATTGTTATTTGTTAAAAGAAATAACTTATATTGTAAAAGTGCTTGGACTTAGATTCATAATTAAATAAACCTGATAACTAGAAATAAAATAGAACAATATAAGTTATTTAGCAATAGATAAAAAAGGACATATCTAAGATTTAGTCATATATATCTATAAATTTTAAATTTTATAGATCTATAACAATTTGTATATTCTATAACAATTGTGTTCAATATATAAATATTTTTATCCACTATGCAAAAAACTCTTAAAAATCAATACTGTATATTATCTTGAAAACACTAGAGATTGCAAACTTGTTTTAAGTTAAGCAATTGTACAAAAAAATTATTATCAATAGGGTTTGTCAAAATTAGCGAATTTAATAAATACAAAAGTTAAATATAAAGTATATCTTATGATATTTAGCAGAGCCAATTGATCTTGACACATGAGTACTAATAATATTCTTACAATAACTTTTTTATTTATTTTGACCCCAGATAATGTCACTAGACTAGTTAGTGTAAATAGCAAACAGAGTGCAAAAGAAAAAGATTGAATTAAACAGGGTCTTTAGTAAAGCTATTCATAGTAAAAACCTAATCTTAAGTAAAAACTCTAACTAGATATATCTAAACACAGATATATTTGCTAATCACCTAGATAACTCAAGTAGTAATTTTTTCTACAAGTACAATCTCTAATGCAATCTCTATAAATACAATATCTCTTTAAATATACATTTTTAGCCTGGCTATAAAAAATCATTAGTGCTAAATGCATATTCTATATTTTGCAAACTCAAAAGATTTTCTATATCATACTAACCTCCCTAAATATACATAGCCAATCAGAATTCAGTATTCCAGTTGTATTATACAAGCCTGCAAATTAAATATTAAAAGCTGCAATTTGATTGGTTTTTTCTAAATACAAATCTCTATAAATATACAATTGAAGCTGGTCTGTACACATTGTATTTATAAAGGTTTGACTATACCTATATCTGACCTGCTATAGTAGGATTCTCCTCTTTCCAGACTCCTCCTGCAATTGGATATAATCTGAATCTCAACAAATAGTACTTACCGCTCGTTATGACCATTTTTCTCTTTTTTCAAACTTCTTTCACCTAAACTTAGCAACATAATTAAACTTTTATTCATATATAAAAGTAAAAAAATAAAGCCATGTTTATGAAAACATAACCATTTTAGAAAAAAAATACCTCACAGTGATAAAAAAAACACAAATAAAAAATCAAATTCTAAAATAATTTATTATAAATGAACAAAGATGAAAAAAGCAAAAAAAAAGAAAGATAACTATGACATGCTATTACAGCTCATGCTAGATATAAGGGTAAAAATTATTGTCTAGAGCATAGCGAAGAACTATTAATGTTTAGTTATAGTGATATAATAGTTATGCTCTTGATTTATATTATACTGGTATATCAAAAATATAAATTTGAAAATTCATATCTGTCTGCATATATGTCTATATTTGTACTTTAGTGTAACAAAAGCATATTACGCATTTGTGCAATATGTAATTATCATGTGCTCCGGACACACAATGCTATGTATTAACCTAGTATAATAATTGCAACTAATTACTATATCTCGATTGTAAAATCTTTGCTTTAACTTTGGGACTCATTTTGTATACTGACTCGTTCTAAACGAGACAACAATCTCTTTTTTGTACTATAGTGATGTGATTACAAATAAACAAAACATGTAGTTGCCTTTTACTGAGTTCATTTGAATTAGATAAGTATAAACAATGCTGATCTTTTGGAGAGAGTAAGCTGGATTGCCCACTTTTTGTCAAAAATTTTAGTAAGGTTGGCAAAATTCAAGAGAGAAAAAAAACATTTAAAACCACTTAAAAGAGTATGAATTTTTTTTTTTTTACTAAAATCAACAATAACATTAGAGCTTACATATACTTAATCTTTTTAGTAAGTAATAAATTCTGGGCTTGTCAGCAAGTAGCATATAAGAACTACTTCTAAATGACAAGTGCTGTGGCTGCAGTAAGTGATAAACTCTAAAGCTATTAGCAAGGTAGCATATGAGAACTACCTCTAAATAACAGTTGCTAGTTTAAAATCTCTTTTTCCACGTCTTACATTAGTAGTCAGTATATACTGTATTTTTTCTTAGTAAAAAGTTTTTAGAAAATTGTAGTTCAAATGATCGTCAGAAAGAGTTGCTTTGAATAACTGACTAATTTTTTTATTTTTTTTTTTAGTTTTCATAAATCTATTTAAATTTTTTTTTACTTAAAATCAGATTGGCTTTTTTTTTATTTTTGTTAGAAATTTGTATTTGAAAGTTTTTTTTTTTTTTTAATGTTAATGGTGAGACCTTGCTCTTATCTTTATTAAATTTAATCAAAATTTCTTACAAAATCAGAAAAAATTTTATTGTATAAATCTAATACTAAGAATAAAAACTTAGACTAATTAAAAGTGTCTAATAAATACCTAGTTTTTTATCTGCGGCCTAAACCAAACTTGAAAGTTTTTGCATCAAGTAGATTAACTATATATTAATATAATTATATAATTTAAAGTAATTAATAACTTTGTACAACTATAAAAAAGAAATCTTTTATGAATCTGGTTGGATTCAAATTAAATCTGAATCTGTATAATATAGATTTAAATTCTTGCTTAGATTTATTTTGTATTTTAAATCAAATCTTGAATTTTTAAAAATATTTTTCAGATTCAATCTATATAAGATACTTAGTGTTTAATTATAAACTTTATTAAAAACAGTCTACTGTATATTAACAAAGAGAAATTAGAGAAGATTAATAATTGTTAAACTATATACTCTATAATATTGTTGTCTGAAGTGTAGCGAGAACTTTACGGTATTGTCATAGACCAGATTTTGTGTGTGTTTATGTTTGCTTCTATTTTTGGATTTGATGATCATCATTATCCTTATTATTAACCAATCAGTTAACTTTTATTTTTAGCAAATATCGATCAATCGCTTAATGCTTTTATGATCTATTTTATATACTTTTTTTATTAGAGTTACTTTTGTAATAAAATAAGATCATACAATTATTATTATTATTTTTTTTTATGCTATATTTACTGTTGTTTCAAAGTTCATTAGTCTATTCTCCTCATCTAAATGCTCTTTCATTCTTTTGCAGTTTTTAATACGTAGAAGCCTTTCAAAACCAAATGGACTTAGAAGGATATCTTTAAGAGACCGAACCCTAGATATAGCTACAAATGATAAACCAGCAGAGAACTCTTTTTACCAAGATCAATGACAGCCTTTGATAGAGTTAATCCTTGTGACTTATGTGTTGTAATGGCCCATGCCAGAAAAAGTGAAATTTGTAGACGAGAACATACCCCCAGCCTTACTTTCCCATGTATGTTGAACAGGAACAATTGGTATGGCTTGAATTCCATTTGAGCATGTAATAGTAGAACCACGATATTCATCAAATGCAACTAGAACACTTGTAGGTAAGGAAGTAAAACTACCTTTATCTTTAAACAAAATATCTTCTATTGTTCTCATTGCTCTATTAACAAGGCCAGCAGAGATTCAGAGGTTCATATTAAGCATCACGTGTGCTTTTCTTGATAATAGGATTTCTGATTCAAGCCCTTTTGCCGTATCAGAATCCACAGACGAGGCTCCAAAACCTGTATGAACAGCGCAAATTTTTGCAATTGGTTAATTTAATGAAAGAAGTTTATTAAGATTAACTTCATTAACTTCTTTCCATTTTGTATAAATATTAGTAGCACTTAAAAATTCCTTTCATTCAGCTTCGGGTAAATATTCTGGAACTCTCATCATCAATAGCTCCCAGTCAGATTTAATAGAGTCACCATTATGCAAACGTAATAAAAGATTTCTAAATCTACATTGTTCATTTGAATTACCAGCTTGTCGTTGTACAACATCAAGTTTGTACACCTCTCGAAATTGGTAATATATTTTCCGACTATCTTCAGACAATGAATCTGCTCTATGAGAATCTTGAGAATATATAGGCAAATCACATACTGGCAGAAGTTGTCCAAAATCACCAACAAAGATGACTGACTTTCCTTCAAATGGTATGTTATTATTATTTGGAAATGCTTGACGTAATCTCAAATCAATTATAGCGAGCTGCCAACATCCTACCATGCTCATCTCATCAATAATTACATATTCTACCTTCTGCAATTTATTTTGTAGCTTTTTTAAACTATTACCTTCAAGATTATAATTTGTTTCCGTAATTGGAATGGAAAGTGCTGAATATATAGTGCTTCCTTGAATATTAAAAGCAGTGACCCCTATTGGAGCTAGCACAAGCAGAATGTCTCCTTCTATTCTGTTATTTCTTGCCAAATTACGAAGCATTTTTCATATAGCCTTAATAAGGTAGGACTTTCCAGTTCTTGTGGTGCCCATGATAATTATTCGTAAAGGCTCCAAAAATTGATTTGAAATTATGTTGCTGTAATAGGATTCTATTCTCTCATATATCATTCTTTGTTTACTATTTAGAGTCTCAATATCGATTTCCATTAGATCTTCTTCAACTACAACATAATCATGAATTGCTTGTTGAATGAAGCCTTCAACATTTATAAGTTCAGGGTACTTTATTTGACTTTCACTAACCCAATCATAATTTATGTCTACAGAATAATTACCAAGATCAGAATAACGTGTTTGCGTTTCTGGCACCATATCTGAAAATATTATCCAGTCAGTTCGCTATCTATGTTCTTCCTGTGCATTATCCTGTTCTTGATCATCAGAATCGATATCATCTGCTTCAAAACTATTTGTCGCAGACCCAATTAAATCATCTGGACCATCATTTATTTCTGAACGATGCCGATTGTATAATTCCTCCCATGTGAGGGATCTATTTTTAGTGAGCTCGGTAAGGTCCTTATGACTAACATAGAGAAGAACTTTTACTTAGCAAAATTCTTTCCATTGATGTCCATTTGGCTCCAATGATGGACGTGGCCAAACATGAACTATATTTTTATTTCCACACTGTATCCAATTTCCTTTAACTAATTTATATTTTTAATACAATTTAAAGAGCGAAAGATCTTGAAGCTCTGTAGGTCTATTTCAATATTTTTGTAAAGGTGATTTGTCTGTTTTTCTGCTACTGTTAGTTTCATCATTGGGCTCGCCACTATCATGGAGCCAACAATTTGTTTCCTTATTAAGATTCAAACTAACAAAATTTTTACTATAGTGATAGAGTGGTATTTGAAAAAGAAGATGACAGGTTTTTTAAGCCAAAATATCCTATTCTGCAACTGTATGCAGTAACAATTTCTGGAATGCTTTAACAGCTGAATCACTAGGCCTACTATCATGAAGAGCTTCATTTAACACTTCTGAAAAACCAAGAGACCGTGGTTCAGCTTTACTAGCATATTTAGAAACATACTGTAAAGCTGCATGAATTGACAGGATAGATTTAAGATCAACATTTGCCTGCCAACCTTGGAGTTGAAGTCGGTCATGTAGATTAACTAGAGGATTATTTCTTTTTGTAATTAATTCCATTTGGCCATCTTCATTATGCAAAGTTGTTTGATCTTTCAGATCCTTTAGAAATCTAAACCTGCATACTTGCTCGCCAGTTTGCTTATTAGTTCGCAAACAATAAGAACTGCTACAGCATGTATGTCGTTGTAACTTATTTATTAATTCGATATAATCTTGCAGGTCATCATTGAGACTCTCTAAATCTTTTTGACATGGATGTATATCCAGTAAGGGTGCATTCAATCCAGGGTTTCTTGTTGTAACCAGAGAATCTAAATACTATACTACTTCTTCCATTTTTTCTGCATTATTGCTTATTTCATCCTACTCAATCATAGGCGCTTCTCTTCTTTTGGCAATACTGTGCATATGGACACTGCTGCAGTGTTGCTACTCAAATCGATACCACCAATCTGCAATTTCCATTTAGGTATTAAGACTTTTTCAAAAAAAATTTTAAATCGCTTTTCAAAAAACCATGCAGCTATGTGTGGATTCTCAATAAGGTTTCTATACCGACGTTTACTTGCTTCTTGATCAGTTTCTCTGTCTATCTGATTCTCTCTATTAGGCATAAGTTTATGTAAATCCGGCTAGTGCATATCTGCAGCACTGAATGTAAAAAATACCAGCCCTTCATGTCCTAACTGCCTTATCATATCTGTTAGTTCAAATCTAGCTGCATCCAATATTGACGAGTATCACATAAACCTTCTCCATATCTGATCACTCAATCTGCTATATGGCTATCATTTTGCATTAATTCCAGAACTTCATCTACAGTAAGTTGTCCTTCTTCCAAATTTTGTTTGACAAATACCTGCCCCTTTAATAACGCTCTCCATCTCATTATTGAATTTAATACAAAATAACGCCAACGTAAATGGCGAGCAAAGCGCCCATCTTTATATAACATTAAGTGCTTGAAGTATTCCGCAGGTTTAACTTCCCTCATTCGATGAGTACGGAGATCAGCTATGCCTCTAGAATATAGTGTAGAGAACGCTCTCACTATATATCCGACTATACAGAATTCATTTATGGGATTACATTCATTATGTGGCTAATCAATATAGCCATCATTTGTTTGCGTTCTATTAAGAGTGCTATTAATTGCGCTATCTTCATTCTGCCTAGATAATATAGAAGGCACAAAAGTTTGTAAAATAAAATCCTCATTTAATTCATCAGTTTGATTTTGCTCCATACAAACCTCATTTTGCTCTTCGTCTTCGTTGTCTGTGAGTCTTGGAAGCTGATCAATAATAGAACCATTATTGGGTAAGGATTCCAAAATTTCATCATCTATACTAATCTCACAATAAAATATATTATTTGCTTTCAGCCACCAAAGAGCCTGAATTACTTTTCCTCTATGTACGTTAAAATCTCAAAATGCGGGTCTGTTAATAGAATGTCATTGAATGATTAATATGTCCAAAGATGCTGGATCATGTGGAAGGCATGTTACAAAGTCTTGCAAATCCTGTAGAAAATTTATAACATTTCCTCTATATGTGTATTGTTCTCCACGCAAGTTATATACAAAAATCACGGGAAATACTTGTGCTATAAGTATTTCTTCGACGATCGTTAAATCCTTAAGTTCATGTGAAACTTCACCTTTACAAAATATTGTGAATTTTCAAATAAGTAATCCATGTTTAATTTTTTTAAAGATTGAATAGTTCTATTTTATTAATACAAAATTTCATACCAGGATCCATATTATTTTCTGCTGAGAATTTTTTAGGGTTTGTTTTTTCATTGTAACACTGATGGCACTCCTCTCTAAAGAGATCTATAGAAGGAAATCTCTCTTCACATGTTTTGTATTCCTTATTTTCAAATTTACTGATATTATCTCGAAATTTATTTAATAGTTCATGGTCCACTCTTTCAAGATTATTTTCTAATTCGTCGTCCTCAACTATATTTACTGTGTTTTGAAGAATATTAGATCCTCGTTTTTTACACATATTTGACACGTTTTGCGAATTCCTCTTATTACGCTGCTCTTCCGTCTCTAAGGCATGTTTGTTTCGTATGTTATTTGCATTTTGTACATTTCTTTCAATTTGTTGCTCAGCACTCTCATTAGCTTTCTTTTGATGATATCGGCTGCGTATTTTTGCGAGCCGGGTTTCGCATTCTTCTTCAGTTTCTTCTGCTCTCTTTTGCCATTTTCTACTACTTTCACGTCCTTGCCGCGTTTCTTTGATATTAAGCTTTTCATTCTCTTTATTAGTATTAGTCTCAGACAAAGTGCTTTGGACGCTCTGAAGTGCATTTATGTTATATTGTTAAACATAATTTGTTTTTTTTTTTCTTTTTTTGTTAACTTACCATTATGATAATTATCCCTTAAAAAAACCAAATAATAGTTCAAATTATTTAAATGATCTAGCGAATGGAATGACGAATTTATCTTCGTTAAGAGTACTTTATCCAAGTCATATACCGGCGCAGTAATCGCAAGATAAATTTTCAAATTTTTTTTACTAAGTAAATTTTTTATTACAAGTTTTTTTTTTAAAATGCCGTATTAACTATTTATTTATTCGGTAGATATGGTCCTGTTCAAATTGAATTTGTAATTTTTACTAAGCACAATATCTACATCCTTCGATTTATTACACCATTATATGAAATCGTTTTCAACAAACTGCTGTAATATTTAATTATTTGATGTGAGTTAATATTTGTGTTACTTATTGTATTATGCTATAAAGTTTTGAAATTTTGCTCTAGCAGCAACGCCAGCGTCGCCAGTAATTGAGATAGCAGTTACATGATTTCCGCCCCAAAATTTTTGAAATTCTTAAAATTTTGATTTTCAGAGTGCTTTTTTTTTTTTTTGCACTTTTAATTTTTTTGGAAAATATTTTCTCATCAAAAATTCTGAAGCTCAAATAAATAATTATAAAAATAAAAGCCCCAAAAACAACATTGAAAAAGTTCCAAAAATTTATGGTTGTAAATCATGTGATTACTACTTCGATTACTGACATTGCTATTCAAGCTCATTGAAATATTATTGAAATTTTTTAAACTCAGTCTAACGATGTTAATTAAATATTGAGTTTGTTTACAAATATTGAATTGCAAAATCTAATTCAATTTACTATCATGCAACTCATATAGTTATATTAAATTCATATTACAACTTTAGCATCTTAGTTTTTGAAAATTTTATCTTTTTTTAAATTGTATTTTTTTAATAAATATTTGGAATTTTGCAAAAAAAAAAAATTATAACTCTTATCCGAAACTATATATAGTAATATTAAATACTTTTACTATGTTTTATTAATTTAATTAATTTTGTTTATAAGTTATGTTTAAATTTTTGGCTTCGGACGCCTAATAGCATCTGTTTCCTAGTATATTACTTTGTAGTAAATAATCCAAACAGTATCTTAATTGAACTTAAACATGTTTATAAACTTTGAACTAAACTTAGACTTAGACCAATATACCAAGTTCAAGACAGTTCAAGTTTATAAGTTCTAGGTTCAATTCAGGTTTTTTTTTTTTTAAATTTTTCCAGACTATCTAAGACAGCTGAAACGCTGGTGGCGTCTTTTTATTATAATTGATTAATAAATAACTTTCTATTTACAAATTAAGTATTTACAAATTTTCTATTTATTCGATTACTAGAGGAGTTAAGACTCAACACCTTAATTTCTCTTGTGATCCTACTACTTATAATTGCTGGAATCAACATTATCGGCCTAGTATCATCACCCATTTGGTGTTGATATACCAACACCAAATCTCATAGATTGCCATTGCATTTAGCCATTGTGCTGTTGTATGGCATCTTTTTTGAAGAAAATTGTTCTTTGTGCAGATGTTTTCAATAGTCTTCGATATCGCTAAGTTGTCTTGTACCTTCAAGAATTTGTAGACTTCTGTCCAGATAGATTTACTAACTTTACATTCTACCGCAAAATATTCTGGAGTCTGAGTACTGTTTTCACACCATAAGCAAGCACCTAATTCTGAAGGAGATATCTGTTAGAGCCTATAACCCAAAGGTAGGGCTCTGTAGGCTAATCTCTATAAGATATCTCTCTTTTTGTTATCAATATCTCTACATGTAATCCAATCAGTTGGTGTATTTTCTCTAAGCATATAAGTTGGAGAGATTATTCCAGCTAAACTTCTTAGAAGGTTTATTAAGTCTTTAGTCTGAAGATTACAACTTTTTTTCCCCTTCAAATATATGTTCTCTGTAGACCAAGGCCACGGTGTAAGGGAAGAAACTGCACCCTTCACTTTATTCTATGCACGTATAAAAGGTTTCTATTCTGATGGCCAGGCTTTGATTCTTATAGGATTTTCTATAAAAGCTTGCAAAATTGTGATGTCTTTTTTATCCTGTAAAGATTTTGTGATCCTTGATCTTTCTATCTTGGCCCACGTAGTATCTCCTGATATAAGCTTTATCCAAGTTGTGAGCATTCTAGCCTTGAGCATGTTCCCTACTATTGGAGCCTAAATACTGCCTTTTTCATAGAGAAGCTAATAGGTTGAGTATCTTGGGAGCATCTTGGAGTTACTCTTGGTCTATAAAGCTATTAGATTATTTATTTCTGATACTTGTTTTTTGCTCGGAGGGAGAATATAGGCTGTGTACTAGATGCAAGAAAGTATTAGTGATTTTGTGATTAGGATCCTTTCTTTGAAAGAAAGATTTTTTGCCACGAGTTTGGAGAGTATGTCTTTGAGTTTGGTAATAGTGGATGGCTATAAGTCCTTCTTTGGTTGCCCATTTGCATCTATTTCATATCCTAGTAACTTAAAGGTATTAGATTCTTCTATAACTTTAAAATCAATTATGTCTAGGAGGTTTGCTCTTCTCACCATTATTATTAGTGGAACAATTTATATTTTCTGGTTGTTAATTCTTGCACTTGAGGCTCTCTCATATAGGTCAAACAGTTTATATATCTTCAGCCAATCTAATAAGCTCCCAACTCCTATTGTAAAACCATCTGCATAGACTATAAATTTGAATGTCTAATTGTGGAAGGATATACCTTGAATGTCTCTATCAATAGCCTGGAGTAAGGGCTCAAAGGCCAGGATGTATAGTAATGGTAAGAGGGGGTCCTCTTGTCTAACCTCTCTTCCCACTCTAAACGGCTCTGATAGCATGCCTGATTCAAATATATAAGCTTCTTGATTGGTAAACAGGTTCCCACCAGATTTTTAAATTTCAAATTAAAGTTCATCTTTTCTAGAACCAGTTGCAGGAAAGTATGATCCACATAGTCAAAAGCTTTTTGCTGGTCTACTAAAAGCAGCCAATGTTGCTTAGTAAGATCAGATTGATTTCTCATTACTGTAATCGCATCTAGTGCTGCATCTGTAATTGATCTCTTTGAAACAAAACCCTTTTGGTGTGCCGGAATTACCAAGTTACAAATTTTATTTAATCTAGTAGCTATAATCTTCATAAAGATTTTAGCATCGCAATTTACCAAAGAGATAGGTCTCCAGTTATCTATGTTATTCAAATCTGTTGTTTTCTTTGGAATAAGAGTAATTAAGTTTTTATGCCATGAGTTAGGCAAAGATCCTGATCAGAGGATCTGATTATAAATTGTTTCTAAAACTGGGACAATGTTATTTCAGTTTGTTTGTAAAACTCGTATATAAGACCATCTAGCCCTGGAGACTTATTGTTTAGAAGTTTTCTAATAGTCTCAATTATTTCTTCTTTCGTGATCTCCCAAGAAAGCTCCTCATTTTCAGAGGAAGAGATAGTAGAAAGACCATTTGTCAAGGTTGTTGCCGCATCTAGATCAATCTTTTCTTCTTTGTAGAGCTTTGCATATTGCTCTTTAATATACTGTAGGATTCAGTCATTGTTGAGCTGAGGTGGGTTCCCATGATCCTTGATGTCCTTGAGTGTAGAAGAGTTTGTACAAGATTTGAATCTTGAGAAGAAGTATTTCGTTGACTTTTCTCCCTGCTCTACCCAACTTGCTTTAGAGTGTATCTGCCATCTATCTGCTAATTGTAGCAGTTCATCCTGAATTTGAAGATTTAATTTATTGACTATTGTATGTAAATGCAGCTGACTAGGGTCTTTTGCTAGTTTCTCTTTTGATTTGGTCATTTTTCTATTTAATAGAGCCAAGCTGCTCTCTGGGGCCCTGGGTTTCCTGAAGGCCCTTATGATTGATTGAATGCAAACTTTGTGCTAGTCCCAATCTGCTGCAGAATTAAATGAATTAATTTTTGCTATAACCTCTTTTTTTATAAGTTTATTCTTGAAACACTGTTTCTCGAATCTCCAAGATGTTGGAGTTTTAAGTTTATCATTCAGATTTAAGATATATTTAACTAATAGGTGGTCTGAATTGCCAAATAAAGTTTCTGTTTTTTCCACTAGTGAAACAAAGTTTCATTGATGAAAATATAATTCAGTCTAGTTGCCATAGTTTGATTGTTTCGTGTATTCTGAAAAAATGTCAAGAAGGGGTCACTCTCTTCAAGAGTTGCTGAGTTGATGAATTTATTTGTAGGATTTTTGAGTTGTAAGCGTGTTGAATCTGATTGTGCTGTAGCTTGACTAACATGGTTTGTCTTAGGATTTATATTAACATTAAAGTCTCTACCAAGTATATTTATTGATTCTTCATCCCAGAATGGACTCCATCCCTCAAAGAATTCACTTCTGTCTTTGTTGTTTGGAGGGGCATATACATTAGTGACATGGAACATGTGGTCCTTGTAAGCGATTCTTGTAGATATAATCCTTCCTCTATGGGATGTCTGAGGATCCTGTAACTTGATTTCTTTTTTGTTTGCTAATATAGCAGTTTTGTCGGCCCAAACCGAATCAAAAGGCCATTGTTTTTTCATTGTTTTTTAAGAAAGTCTTTTGTACTTTGGTTTTCCAAGTTTGTTTTTTGTAAGAGGATTATGTCTAGTCTATAAGATTTAAGTAAAGTTAAAGTTTTTCATTGTTTTTCCTGATTGTTAAGCCCCTTTACATTAAGGGTTGCTATGTAAACTTTTTTGTTTATTGTTATAAAGAAAGAGTGATGTTTTAGTTAAGTAGGGAGGTATGTCCTCCTTTTGGTCTTTTGTAAGGAGAAGTCTTAAGATAGCTCTGTCTAGTTTTGTTATTATTGCTCTTTTTTTATTCATTACTGGTGTAAAACTATCTTCATTAACCCCTTCTGATCGGGTATCATGAGTTCATTGATTTTCACTTGATCTTTAAAGGCTTGAATGGGATTATTTAATGTAAGTTCATCTCTTGGAGTATTTTGATCCTGAGGTTCCAAGGCATTTGGAACTGGTGATTGTATATAAATAAAATCAGAAGAGTTGGACTCCTTGTCCGTTAATGTTTTCTCCTCTTTAGTATTATTTTTTTCCTCTGGCAATGAGAATGCGATTGTTGCTTCTACCATATTTTTGATTGTATTTTCAAGTGAGATAATAGTGATCTTATTCTCTTTCATATCAGAGTCGTTTTCGATTAGTTTTGAAGATAATTTCTTTTTTACTGTCTTGTCCTTATCTGGGTTTATTATTGAGGATTCCATATTAAGAGAACCAATATTGTCACTTCGAAAGTTGTTTATAACTCTGGCTTGTTCTTTATATTTCTAGTACTGTTCCGGAGAGCAAGAGATTCTTGAAGCTGCTTGTATTCTTTTTTAACATGACCTTCCTGATTATAGAAAAAACAAATACAAGGGGCTGCACTCTATTCTGTTGTAATTTTATTGTCCCTGACATGAGTAAAACGAGGAAGGTTCTTTTCTAAATCTGGATCTTCTGTAGTTTCGAAAACAATGATCCACTGATCTGTTAAGTAAGGGTTTCTTCAATCAGAAGAGGTTTAATAGAATTGATTTTTCTAATGTCCTCAAAGGCTTTTTTGATAAGTGTTGAAACTTGATTTCTGTTGCCTAATGGAATGTTTCTAATTTTGACTGATAGGAATGACTTACGGGCATCTGTTGGAATGTAACTCATGTAAGTTTTATTAAAAATTCGGACCTCCTTTGTTGTATATTCTTTGAGTAAGTCAAAGCTTGCAAATACAATCTCCAATTGTGAATATACTCCTTTTTTAAGGTGTTGTTTTATTGCTACAATATCCTTTCCTGTACTCTCATAGAGAGAAGAGATAATTTTGTTAAATGAGCTTAGTAATTAAGATATGTCAATGATAAGTATGTTATCATTCTTAGACTTAATTTGTTCTCTTGGAGAGAAAGTTGAGTATGTGGCCTGTCCTCTAGTAAGTTTAGAGAAGAGGTTTGCTTATTGCTTTGGGGCAAAGGGTTGAGGTTTCTCATTATCTAGAGTTCAGGTAAAATTGAAATTTTCTGATTGTCTATATGGGTTATTTTCTGATAGTTGGAGCCCTGTGTTTGCATGGTAGTTACGTGAGGGACCTGCTACAACCGGGTCCTTCACCAATACGTGTTTTGTTTTGATGTTTTGTTTACTTTCTTTGTTTACTTTTAGAGACGTAATTGAAAGATCCCAAGGGTTCTTCTGCTCAACCAGATTAGCCCAACTTTCTTGCTTGTTTGTATAAAGAGTGGTATTAGATTTCTTTAAGATTTCGGGTATATTGTTGATGCTTGAAGCTTCCTCCTCTGGCAGAGAAAGGTTAGCTTTGACATTTTGATTCTTGATCTTTGTCTCACCAAGGACAGTTTTCTTAACTAGTTCTGTTATTTTGAGTTTTTTGCAAGTTGTCTTTGAAAGTGTAAAATGAGAGAGACTTCTCTTCTTTGGTATAAGGGCCTTGGCCTTTACTGGACTTGATTTGAAAAAGTTTTCTTTATCACTTGGAGTAGTTATTTTGTTTTTTGTTAGTAACTCTATTCCTGCCAAATATATACAGAAAAGAGTTGTGCTGATCTTTTTTAATTCAGGTCCAAGTTCAAAGATTTGCAAAATTTAAAGTTTAGTTTGGGTTTAATTAAACTTAAATTTGAATCTAATTGAACTGAACTTGAACTTTGAAATACTAGGTATAAGTAAGCTATTAAAAGAAAAAAAATCCAAAGATACAGATAACCTCTTAGCAAAAAATGACTTTTTGGTAGAGAATTGCCTAAGCAAAAAACAAAGAAAACAAAATAAAGCAATAGTAAAAATAAATAAAACTAGTAATAAAAAGAAAAAACAGCCTTCTAAAAAAAAACAATTCCTTGGCAAAATACTATCCAAACAAAAAACAAAAGAGCAAAAGAAGCAACAGCAGAGGTGGAAGTAGAAAAGAAGAAAAGTATTTTGACAAGAGTTAAGAAAAAGATAGTTAAGTATTGTAATCTGGCAAATAAAACAATACAGTTATAAATTTCAAGTTCATTTTTGCCAAGAAAGTGGTCTAAATAAAGGTTTAAAATAGTAGTAATTAGGGTAGCTAAGTACTATGCTATAGCAAGTTTTTAAATATAGGTAGTACCATGTATGAAACTTGTTGGCAAACGTCAGTGTAATAACTAGTAATATAGTGGCAGTCACATGATAATCATCATACATAACTAAAATTTTATTGGCTAAAAGTTTTAAGGATAATATGTCAAATTTTTTTAAACTTTGAGAGAGGATATCTTGACAATTACAAGCCAGATTCAATAAACCTTTTTTTATTTGAATCTACAGATTCTTAGAATTCATATTAAAGAAAAATTCTTCAAATTTGGCTTGGTGATTGTCAAGATATCTTCACTCAAAGTTTTAAAAAAATTCAAACCATCTACCAAAATAAGAGTTGTGCCAAACTTTTTCTTAAACTTTGAGCGAAGATATTTCGACAACCACAAGCCAAATTAAATAAGCCTTTTTTATTCGAATTCTATAGATTCGTAGAATTCAAACAAAAAAAGTTTATCGAATTTGGCTTAAAAAATTCAAAGCGTCTATCAAATAAGAGTTGCGCCAACCTTTTTCTTAACCTTTGAGCGAAGATATCTCGACAACCACCAAGCCAAATTTAATACCCTTTTTTTATTTGAATTCTATCGATTATTAGAATTCAAATAAAAAAAAGGTCATCGAATTTGGCTTGTTGGTTGTCGAGATATCTTCGCCCAAAGTTTTAAAAAATTCAAAACGTCTATCAAAATAAGAGCCGTGTCAAATTTTTTCTTTTTATTTTAATTATAAGAATCTGTAAAACTCAAAAAAAAAGTTTGTCGAATTTGGTGTGGCGGTTGTCAAGATATCTTCGTTCAAAAGTTTAAGAAAAAGTTTGACACAGTTCTATTTATTTTGAATTTTTTAAAACTTTGAGCGAAGATATCTTGACAACCACCACCAAGCCAATCCGGAGAATTTTTTTTTTATTTAAATTCTAAGGATTTGCAGAATTCAAATAAAAAAAGGTTTATTGAGTTTGGCCTGGTAGTTGTTAAGATAACTTCGCTCAAAGTTTAAGAAAAAGTTTGGCGCAACTCTTATTTTGAGACATTCTTAATTTTTTAATTGAGAGAAGATATCTCGCCAAACACCAAGCCAAATTCGATGAACTTTTTTTTATTTAAATTCTAAGGATCTGTAGAATTTAAATAAAAAAAGGTTATTGAATTTGGCTTGGTGGTTATCGAGATATCTTCGCTCAAAGTTTAATAAAAGTTTGGCGCAACTCTTATTTTGATAGACGTTTTGAATTTTTTAAAACTTTGAGCGAAGATATCTCGACAACCAACAAGCCAAATTCGATGACCTTTTTTTTATTTGAATTCTAATAATCGATAGAATTCAAATAAAAAAAGGGTATTGAATTTGGCTTGGTGGTTGTCGAGATATCTTCTCTCAAAGTTTAAGAAAAAGTTTGGCGCAACTCTTATTTTGATAGACGTTTTAAATTCTTAAACCTTTAAGCGAAGATATCTCGACACTCACCAAGCCAAATTCGACAAACTTTTTTTATTTAAATTCTAAGAATCTGTAGAATTCAAATAAAAAAGAGGTTATTGAATTTGGCTTGGTGGTTGTCGAAATATCTTCGCTCAAAGTTTAAAAAATTTTGATGTATTGAATAGCAAATCCTTAAAACTTTTAGCCAATAGAATTTCAGTTATGTATGATGATCAGCCGAATTTTTATGGCACCACGAAATGACCATCGCAAAACGCTTGGATTTATTTTAGACCTACGCAAGTCTTTTCAATTTTATTTAATTATAATTTTCTATCGCTACAAACTTCCGATTTAATTAAGAAACCAAGGCTATGACACGTAAAGTCTCATAGTGGCAAGGTATGCAGGAAGTAACAAAATATGTACATATTAAAAGGCCCAAACACATATATATAGTTTTTAAATACAGTACAAAAAAATTTTTTGTTTAAATAAATTTTCTCAGTAAATAGAAAACTAATCAAAAAAAAAAAACAAAAAATGCCTAATTGAAAAAAAAGCTTATTCATTATGAAATTAAAATTGTCATTTTTTGTGGAAATCGTATGCGAATAGAATTTTTCTAAAAATTCTCTTTATGGAAATTGAATTTTATACCTTCAGTATTTGCAGAATCGCAATCTTTTTTCAAACTTTTAGCTAACGCAGGAGGACCACAGTAATATACACCCACGTTAGTATTCAAATCTCCTTCTTTGCCCGGCAAATAACGACCACTCTCAATCGCTCGATTCAATTGGCTAAATATATAACCAAAATTTGGTCTGCCGTAATGCGTTCTGCTTTCCAAATCCGTCAATGGATCATATGAACCAGATACATCATTAATTATTATATTATTTATAGTGGATTCTCTAAGTTTTGATGTCAGATAAATGTGGAATTTTAGGAAACCAGCTTCCATTTGGGTAGCTTCTAAAGTTTTCAGTAAGGATTGAAACCATTCAAATGCGCCAGTTTCA